CTGGCGCGCAGCTCGCCGTGCTCGCCGGCGCAGAGGCAGTGGAGCCAGACGTACGTGGCGTCTGGGCGGAGGCTCTGCTCCTCGAGGCGGCCGCGCACCGTTCTCCAGCGCAGCAGTGCATCACCGGAAGGCCGGGTGCCAGAGGTGAGCCGAGGGAGCTGGGTGCCTTCTCTCCTTGCCATCGCTCGGGAGTCCATTCCCCGTGCATGCTTCGCTTTCGTGCGTGCGCGTGTTGTTTTTTTTTCCGCAGGATGATCCAGGATGCTCCCCCATGATCCCCGCCGAGACAGAAATGCACACGTCCGAGCGACGCCAGGCCTCTGGAAAGCCGAGCACCGACCTCGAAAGCAGAGGCAGCCTAGCCGCTCAATCGAGGCAGGCGCTCACGACACTCCATGCTCACTAGGCGTCCGCGCTGAGGGGACCCGACTGCGTGCCGCTGCCCTGTTGTGTGACATGGCCCTACGAGTCTGGACCAGCAGTCTCACGGCGGCCCTCAAAACTGGCGTGGGAGTTCGGGGCCGAGCCCCCGTGGAAGGTCCACTGTGACGGGGGGGCAGTGTGTCGTTTACTCAGGGGGTCCGGGGGGTGGGGGGGACACGCAGGTGAGAAGTGAGCGCATCCGATATTCTCAGCGCACACTGCTTGCGATTCAACCATGTCTGCCCCCTTGACATGCATTCGTTCTCCTGTTCTCCTAAGAGGAGTACTGCTGACGCGTTCGCTTACAATACATGTGATACATGATTGCCACCTTCTGCAAACATCAATGGTGTGGCGTTCGTAAATGCATCACTGGCTCAACCATCCCTGCAACGTGCCAGCATTGTGCCGCTGGACTGGTTTTTCCATGCACCGCATGGCCCATGGCACATACTCGTATCCCCTCCCCCCATGTTTGACTCTGGCCTGCGGACCCCTTCCAACGCACACTAAATGATAGGTCCATCAATACCGTCTCTCCAGGCTCGCCGGTATTCCCATTGGCAGGTTTTAAACAACAAAAGAGTTCCGCAACCAAAACGTAATGATGCACCCTGACTGCTGGGACGTCTACGGGTCACCGAGACCGATCGTGTCATCAGCGGTCATCAGTCTTCCCGCAAGGCGACTCTAGGGGGAGGGTGTGTAGAGATGCACTTGTGGCAAAGAAAGCAGCGGTCCGGACTACGTGGGGTGAATGCGGGCAAGAGTGGGAGATGGGGGCGCAGATGTTGGAGGTCGGGGGGAGGACGGAGAGGTGGGGAGGGAACGACGGTGATACATAGCGCAGATGTGAAGGACCCCCCCCGGGCCGCGCAGGCTGACTCCTGTTTACGGCCTGGGAGGCGGAGGGAGACAGGAGAAAAATTGAAAAACGTCGTCACGTCCTGCCTGCAACTCCCTGTGGACCCTGTCCCGCTAAGGATACCCGTGCAACATCGCGAAGGACACTTGATCAAAGGACCTGCACAACGAAAGAACTCGCACCAAAAACCACGCTGGCGGGCGCGTCCTCGCAGTACAGAGAGAGTGCGTCCACAACCTCGCCGATGGCGGAGTCCGACGTGCACGAGAGAATGAGCGAGGCTGGCCCGACGTGGCCTCTGCTGGCTATGGGCGAACGCCGTGACCCATATGACCCATGAGCCGAGCCGTAACTTCACATGACGTGTCCAGACCCTGCCAACACTTCGGCAGCCTGGCCGCCCCCTGTGGCGTCATCGGTGGCCCGCTCCTGGAACAACCGGCGCAGTCGTCGGTGACCCTTGGAAGCGGCCTCCAAACAGCCAGCCGCATACCCGCTCATCAGCTAGAGGCCTCCTGGATGGGGTCCGAGTAGGTGGGGTCGGAAGATTGCGCCGCATCGCCGATGCATCGGCGATGCACGGGCGACGTCGGCGTGGAGAAAATATGGCTCCACATCGAGCCGCATCGCCGATGCACCAGCGATGCGCCGCGATCCTCCGACCCCCTCTGACCCCATCTGGGAGGCCAAGACCGACGCGGCCCACCACCCAGATATCCGCCGATCCAGCGTGTGAGTTTCTGAGAGCGTGGGCTTGAGCGCTTGAGCTCGCTCAAACTTCGCTTTGCAGGGGGGGGGGGGGGGACGTTTTTGTCCGACTACTTTCCGACCTATTCACTGAAAGGGCGACCAGCCCCGGCCCCGGCCCCAGTCCCGGCCCCAGTCCCGGCCCCGGCCCCAGCTCCGGCCCCGGCCCTGGTTCCTGGCTCCCGGCAGCGGTTCCGGCCCCGGTCCGCCTGGCCCCAGCTCCCCAATCCCGAGGTTTTGGCCCAGGTTCCGGCTTCGGCTCCCGCGGTCCCAGTCCCAATTAACCCCGGCCCCGACCCCGGCCCCCGGTCAAGAGCTCTCGGTCCTGGTGCCAGCCTTCTCCTCTTCCTCTTCCTCCTCATCCTCCTCCCTCCTCCTCCACCTCCTCCTCCTCCTCTTCCTCCTCCTCCTCTTCCTCGTCCTCCTCCTCCTACACCTCCTCCTCCTTCCTCCTCCTCCTCCTCC